AAGGTGTTTTTAACCATGATTTCAAATAAAGAGAGGGCTTTTTTAAAGGCCTTTTCATTCCCTCCCACCATGAAGGTCAAAGTGCCTGCTTTTGCTCCGATTACACCTCCAGAAACGGGTGCATCTAGTATTGTGTGTCCTGCCTTTTGAGCATGTTCTGCAAGCATTCTGGACGTCTCTACGTTTATCGTTGAACAATCAATCAAGAAATGGCCTGTGGGAAGTTGTTTGATGAGCTTGTCTTTTTCTAAATAAACAGATCGAACATGTTGTCCTTCAGGAAGCATTGTGAGCACAAAGTCAGAATTTTGCGCAGCTTCAAAGGCGCTGGAAGCGAGCGGCATTCCAAGATTTTGAGCTGACTGCAAGGATTTTGAGTTGAGGTCAAAGCACTTGATTTTATATCCGGCTTTTTGAAGATTGGCGGCCATAGGAAGGCCCATATGGCCAAGCCCAATAAAGCCAACAGTTCCTTTGGTCATGTTTTTTTCTCCCTTTTTAAGTGGTCAATTGCCAACAGTGGGGAGAGAAAAATCAACGTTTCCTTGGCGAATGCCTGAAGGCCAACGGCTGGTGACTGTTTTCAACTTCGTAAAGAATCGGATTCTTTCCATGCCGTGCATCCCATGGTCTGCAAAGCTTGATTCTTTCCACCCTCCAAAACTGTGAAAGGCTGCAGGAACAGGAATAGGGATGTTGATCCCCACCATGCCAACATTGACCCGATGACTAAAATCTCGAGCACAATCACCATCACTTGTAAATAAAGAAACGCCATTCCCATAAGGGTGGGTTGACGCGAGATCTAGAGCTTCTTCATAAGATTTTGCACGCACAATACACAAAACAGGGCCAAAGATTTCTTGTTTGTAAATGGACATATTTGGTGTGACATGATCAAAGAGGCAGCCCTCCATATAAAAGCCATGGGGGTGTTCAGGATGTGTGTAGTCGCGTCCGTCCATCAACAACGAGTGTGGCTCCTTCCTGAAGGCCTGTATTTGACTAATCTAATACTTTCTGCCGATGCTCTGCGGTAATTAAAGGCCCCATTTCTTGATCTTTTAGGTGATATGGGCCAATTGTTAGAGACTTTACTTGTGGCGATAGATGCGTAACAAGTTTGTCTGCGACGGTGTCGCCAACACACACGGCAACAGAAAT